AGTTTAAATATATATATATTTAAACTATTTTAAGTATTTTTACTCTTTAAAAGAACAATCTAGTTAAAAGCTTAGAATGCTGCAGGGGTGGAGGGGAGTTCCAGATTTTACCATGCTTTACAACGCTCACATAGCCTAGATGGTTTGTCCAAGTCTTTCTAATGGCTCTGCTAATTTTTATGTACTTTCTTATACCGGAGGCCTGACTTTCTGTGATACCAAACACTCGACTTGCACTGACATGCCGAGCACCTCTGAAAGATGTCATAAGTTTGACTCAAGAATGAAAGCAATAAAGTGATTTTTTTTTTATATAAAGGTTGTTCTTGCTGGTATTTGTGTTTTCCTTTTCTGCTAAATGTCACTTTAAAACGTAAACTGTGATGAAGCCTTCAGGAAGAAGTTACTATAAATGCAGAATATTACTATTAGAAACTATTGGTCGTGTACAATGAGAAACTGATAGAGATTCTGCAGCTCAATAAATGCATAACATCCACTGAATAATATTTAATAAAATGTTTACCTCAGCAATAACGAACTATGTAAGAAGTACAGTGTTTTACAGAACAGATACATTAGATGGCATTTGTGCATTTAATTTCAGCTTTTCTTGCTTAAATATAGAAGATGTTTAAGTGAAAAATGTGCTATGAACAAGCCGACTCTCAAGGCTCGTTTGCTTGAATGCACGAGCCCACTAAAAGACAAGATAAACGAGCCTCGGTATCGTGAGCAGACAAGTAGTACTGAGGCAACACTTACACATGTTTTAAACCCTGTAGCATGCAACACAACCATATGGATCAATACAAAGAATATCAACGTACAGAGCAGTTTGTGTCTGTTGTATGTAGCACTGTGCATACGCAGGATAGATTTCAGCCCGTTTTTACTCGAGGTGAGCATGCATCCACATTTTCAGGAATAACTACATACATTTAAGATTATCCGAAGGACGAAGCCCTGACCTGACGACGGCGGTCAGGGGCATTTCTGCCATCGGCTTCGTGCAGCGAAGAAAGTGCACATGGGATTTCGACTGCTATTTTTTGACTTGCCCTCTGCTTCTCACCCAAGCGTGTAGTGCTCTGTACTTAGCCAGTACTGCATCGCTCCTTCTCCCCCCTTTTCCACAGCGTACCTATTCACCGCCTGTCCCGGAGGGATGAGGTTACCTACGCTGCTGGCAGCTCTGCCCTGGGGCTGCCTCCCGTCTTGGTGCTGACCGCCATCGCCTTCACTTCCCCCTTTCAGATCCCAGCAACGTCCTCTGTGATAGAAACCAATCATGCGTCACATTAACTTAATGAAGTATTAATTACATTTCAGAATCGATTCCTTCTCCCCTGCAAACAGTATTTCAGGAATTATAGTTTGTCTGTAGATATTAACTTAAATATATATATATATAAAAGGTGTAATAAATAACTTTTTTTTTAGAAGCGAGAGGGGAGATTAGATTTGTGAAGTTGTTGATGTTTCTCCTTGGTTTGCGCTGTCTCCTTGTGCCGAGTGAGTCAAAAACTGTCCCGTAGCTCCAATGTATAACCTGGATCGCATCGGCCACTTCTGCAAGAGAAGAGACAAGCACGGCGCTGAGACACGCAGGAACTGCACAGTCCGAATGCGGTTCTCAGCCAAGTTTTAAACATTGATGGAATCACAATATGAGAAAATAGGAAAGTGTTGCTATCTGCGGAAAGTTCCCATTTTGTCATTTGTTGGAAAAAAGTCGCTAGAAGCTGGGTAACGGAACCTCAGCCCGAGTATTTGCTTTGGTAATTAATCGTGAGGCGCAGCTCCTAAGCCCCCCGGGACCCAACACGCAAGTCACGCTGATCGGTCACCGTACCACAGTTAGTATACTCGATGTTCTGTTGGTAGAATAAAACAAAAGCATTCCTCTTTACGGTGCCAGGGATACTGTGGGGACACACCAACGCCTGCAGAGATCGCGGCCCTGCCTGCGTACCCGTTCGTGCTGGCCGGCCCCCACCACACCGACCGCGGCGCGGGGGCTGCTGAAGGCTGCGTTGGAGGGAACTTAATACAATTGCTCCTCGGCAGTCTTCAGCACTGACAACAGTTCTTTGTCAGCTCCAACAATTTCCAATGAGGCAATTCATCTTTCCCTTCATTGATTATTGGAATAATCGGTTACATTGGTGTTAAATATCTATTCGTGGTGCTCGAGTTTCTTCACCCAAGCAAGTCCCTTACTGCAGACAGCCCTGCAGCAAGGGCGACTGCAGCTGCCTGCCCTTCTCTTGGGAGGAAGCATTCAGCTCCAGCGCGATGTGCCGAGTTCATTATGAGCGAGGTGGACGTTCGAAAAGACAACTTGTCATACACATCTGATGCAAAAATAGCTGAAACACAGCCAGCGTGTTGTTCCAAAAGAATAACTTTTTTTTTTTTAAAGATGCTTTTGGGAACAGTCTGGCACCTTTCCTGTGGGTAATGAAAGAGAGCTCTAAAAACTAGAGGGGCTTAATACTGCAGTGAAATCTCAGCTCTGCTATTTAAAGACATAATGAAGCAGCATATTCTCAGTTGGAAAGACCGTACAATCTCACTGAAGTATTTTTATTTCAAGAGTGATGTTACGAATTCGTCACCAATAAGACATCTGAATTTAAAGTCATTAACTGTAATTTTTGTTTGGTTTGCACACAACGGTACTTGGACATTTTACTTTCCTCGCTGTTTGTAGTTACCGTGCTTGATATACGAGTGTAGTTACAGTCCTTATCTGTACTGGTTGTCTCATATCCTGCACTTTGGGGTTTTTTTTTTTTTGAAGCATGTACTATGATTTGTCTGTGACACTTGTGTTCTAGTGCCAACTAAAAAATTAATTTACTACCAGGAATATTTGAAAGGTTGGTTAGACTCATAGAATCTTTACAAAACTTAATATGGGTATATGGCACATTAAGTAAGATTATCAAAAATCATTGCTAGATGAGTGCAGTATTGCTGTTATTCCAGTAGCCCAGGAAATGTGCATCTGGATCATTTAACTGCTGTAATAACTACTTAAAAGTATTTCACTGCAGTAATAGTTGGCAGCTGATAAAAAGTACCGTAAGAGACCTGTGTCCTTTCACTCCGACCAAGGGAACTAACAGAAGCTACTTCAAACTTAGTCTGAAATACATCAAAATATTTTTTTCTTAAATTATAGCCATCTTCTAATTGATGTAAAGGTTTTGCTTTCTTAATGAGCCTGCTAATCATTTAAATGGCCTCAGAAGCCTACGTTCACATCACGCTTTTTACAGCACCCAACACTGTGAACAAGAAACTCTCTGAATTAGTCACTTTATAGGAATTAGAGATTACTTCACAAATTAATCTTAATTAAATCATTCTGAATTCACCAGACTTAAAAAAAAAAAAAAAGAAGAAAAAAACCACCCTGGTGCTCTAACTCGCTCCCTGAGACCAGAGCCAAAGAAAATACCCCGTGGTATTTTAAGAGTCCCGTCAGTCACTGAGCAATGCATTTGAAACCAGTTTCCAGCCCCAGGTCCTCCCCAAGAGCAGTTCCCCTTTCTCGTCCCCTCTGTATGGCCGTGAATTTTTTTGACGAAGGCAAAAGCAACAACAGTGTATACCAACTAGACGAAATAAATGCATCAGAAAATGACTTTCATAGAAGGAATTAACACGTAGCTGGTAATTACCACCACCTCCCACGCCTTGGCTGCCTGGGCAGGAGAAGCAAAGCGGGCCCCGCCGTGGCTGGGGTGGCGGCTGCGGGCAGCGCATCGCTCCAGCCACGCACAGCCCCTGCGGCGGGGGCTGGTGGATTTCCTGGGGATCACCGAGGTTTCCACGCGGGGGCCGAGGAGGCGCTGGGACTCCTCCGGTGCTGCCCTCCGCCTTCACTTCCAAGGGACCAGGTCCCACTGGGTTTGGACCTACACTGTATTTGGTATTTTCGTGCAAAGGCCCTGAAGCTGGAGGGACAAAGCTCCGGGACATTTCCATCGGGCCCCTAGCACCTGGATGCGATTGTTAGTCTAGGCAGTCTTTTCATACATTAAGTCTGGCAAAGTAAATACGCTTGAAATCCTCAGTTTCATCTAAGTATCTTTAACACCTATTTACTTCTGCACTGAGAGGAGGGGGTAGCGGCTCCTCAGCTCTCCTACCTTGACAGGGTGGAGGTATCCATCCCCTCGGAGGGTACCCAAGCCCTCTCCCGGCGACTCTTCCTCATCCTGAAGGCTGCGAGTGAGGTGCGCGATGTAGGTGGTGGCCAGGAGGAGCACATCCAGCTTGGAGAGCTTGGTGTCGGGCGGCACGGAGGGGAGAGTCTTCTGCAGCTCGAGGAAGGCATGGCGCAGGGTCTGAACCCGACTGCGCTCTCGAGCGGCGTTAGCGGCGGGCGGGGGGCCCCGGCC